TTTGGCCATGTCTAAAAAGAGATGTGTCGCAGTATATTAGAACATGCCATGTGTGTCAGTTAACAGGGAAACCAAACCAGAAGGTCAAACCAGCACCACTACAGCCGATACAAGTTGTAAGTGAGCCGTTTACACATCTCATTGTGGATTGTGTGGGCCATTACCATGTGCAAGGTCTGGTTGCAAATATCTGCTGACAGTGATGTGTCAAACCACTAGGTATCCAGCTGCCTATCCTTTGAGGTCGATTACAACTAAAGCGGTGGTTAAGGCTTTGTCACAGTTTATTTCGATATTTGGTATTCCTAAAGTCATCCAGAGTGATCAAGGCTCCAATTTTTCGTCTCACATGTTTGGTCAGTAGTTGAAGCTTTTGAAAGTGAAAAAGAACCAATCAACAGCTTACCACGCTCAAAGCCAAGGTGCCTTGGAAAGGTTTCACCAGAAGTTGAAATCCTTGTTACGTGCATACTGTACTGAACTAGATGGAGACTGGGAAGAGGGTCTTCCATGGTTAATGTTGGCTGCAAGGGAGGCGGTACATGAAGGTACGGGGTTTAGCCCTAATGAGTTGGTTTTCGGACATCCTGTCCCTTGGCAGTGCTGAAAGAGGGTTGTGTTGACACTGAGCCACCACGGAGTTTAGTTGATTATGTGAATGGATTCAGACATCGTTTAGTTGTAGCCTTGAGTATGGCACAGGAAAAGCTGTCAGTTTCTCAGTGTAAAATGAAGAAGTTGTATGACCGTGGTTCGGCACGACAGGAGTTTAATCCAGGTGACCAGGTTCTATCCCTTATGCCTATTGTTGGTTCCCCATTTCAGGCTAAGTATTCAGGTCCATACACTGTCATTGAAAAAAGGTCTGACCTAAACTATGTTGTGGCAACACCAGAACGGAGGAAGACCAAACGCCTCTGTCATGTAAATCTTCTGAAACCTTACCACCGGCGTGAAGCTAACACAGACACAGAGGTGATGAAGGACAGTGTGCATCCAGCTGTGGCTGTGACATCACTTGGTTTGATGCATGAGGGAGATAGAGTGCCTGAACCTGATGATAGTTTGCTCTGTGGTCGTTTGAGAAATTCTGAATCACTGGGTAATTTAGACGGGTTGTTTTCTCATTTGCCGGAATCAAGACGTGAGGAACTCTCAGCATTGGTACACAAGTATCTGTGTCTGTTTGGAGGTACTCCTTCGCAAACTGACTGGGCTGAGCATGATATTGATGTTGGGGACGCTCAGCCGATTAAGCAGCATTTTTATCGCATGCCACCAGTTAAGCGCAAGTGTTTGGATGCTGAGATTAATTACATTTTGGAGAATAAAATTGCTGTCCCATCGGCATCCAGTTGGGCGTCCCCATGTATTTTGGTGCCGAAGCAGGATGGAACACCTAGGTTCTGTACTGATTTAAGGAAGGTGAATGCGGTGACGAAATCTGACTCTTTTCCTTTGCCACGAATGGATGACTGTATAGATCAGGTGGGATCTGCGAAATATGTTAGCAAGTTTGATTTGCTGAAAGGTTATTGGCAGGTCCCCTTGTCCAAGCGGGCACAAGAAATATCGGCATTTATTACACCAGCTGGACTTTATTCATATAAAGTAATGCCATTTGGGTTAAAAAATGCTCCCGCTATATTCCAACGTTTGATGAATCGCGTGGTGTCGGGTTTAGAGGGCTGCACTGTGTATCTAGACGATTTGGTAATTTGCAGTGATACTTGGTCTTCTCATGTTCAGCGCATCGAGCTGTTGTTTGAACGATTGGCGGAGGCACATCTGACTATTAATTTGGCCAAATGTGCCTTTGCAAAGGCCACAGTGACATACCTTGGCCATGTGGTGGGTCAGGGTTGTGTGGCTCCAGTTCTGGCCAAGGTCAGGGCGATATCTGAATATCCACAGCCCACAACCAAAAAGGAACTCCAAAGGTTTCTGGGTATGGTGGGTTACTACAGGAGGTTCTGTGAACATTTTTCCACTACAGTGTTTCATCTGACTGAACTTCTTAGGGATAAGGATATATAATAAACTTGGTCGGTTGACTGTCAGAGAGCGTTTGATAATGTTAAATCTCTGTTGTGTTCCTCTCCTGTACTAGCTGCTCCATGTTTTGATCGACCTTTTAGTCTCGAAGTAGATGCAAGCCAGGTCGGAGCGGGTGCGGTTTTGCTCCAGGGTGACAATGAAGGGGTGGTGGGACCAGTCAGTTTCTTCTCAAAAAAACGTAACTGCTACCAGAAAAATGTGTCGGTGATTGAGAAGGAAGCGTTGTCACTCATCTGGGCGTTGCAACATTTCAATGTATATGTGGGAGCAGGAGGACCAATTTTGGTTTACACAGATCATAATCCTCTGACGTTTCTGCATTCAATGAAGTGTCCTAACCAAAGACTGACGAGGTGGTCTTTGTTTCTCCAGGCTTACAATCTTGATGTTAAGCACATTAGGGGATCGAACAATGTTATTGCTGACGCGCTATCGCGTGCTCCATGGCACTAAGTAGGTGTTAGTTTGACCTTGATGTTTATATATTACCTGTCATACTGTTTTGCTAAACCTTTCTCGCTCTGCCCATCTTTTTAAAGTGTGCTTCCCAGATACCTGTGTTGCTAAAGATGTGGCTGGTTGCTAAAGGCGGAGATTGCAGTATAAGGTGGTATATTACAATTAGGGTTCGTTAAGATAGGGTGCTATATATTTTTTGTGGGATATGAATTTGTGTTTTTGTTTGGGATGGGGTTGGTTCGGTATGCCGGTGGTCCTGGGGACACCGACTTTAAGGGGGGGGGGGGTGTGACGACCCCTGCTTTAAGGTCTCCTGTGGTGTGCATGGCCCTTTAATGTTCCTCCTCTGCTTGTGACGCCCTGATTGAGGACACCTGACGGCTGGCGGAGGATTAAGAGGCCTGGCCCAGAGTATCGATCTCTCTCCCCCGCAGAGGACCTGACCTCGGAGCAGCCACGTCGCTTCGTCTTTTTGCTTTTCCTTTGTGTTAGTTTTTTGGTTTACGTTAAACTTTTGTTCATAAATATATTTTTCATATATGTTCTTGTCCTTCCCACGCTTTTTGTTATGGCCAAGAGCCAGGCCATGACACTGCTTAACAGTGCTAAGCAGTAGGCCATACAACCAGACTTTATTATTAAAAAATGTATGTGTGTGTGTGTGTTAGCGACTTATAAATTGATGTTAAGCTTTTGCAGAAAGCGACAGTTAGTCAAGTGGAGTCAGGGACAGCTCAGTGTGTCTGCTGTGTCACTATGATATACTCACAGCTGTGCACACACAAGAATGCAAAGCCGTAAATAAAAGCCAGGTATGGGTTTTTTAAATTGGTGTGGACAAGTTTTTTTTGACCATACTTAGAAAACAGTTGTCATAAATAATATTTTGCTGTTATAAACTGAGCATGGAATCATTCTTTCGACTAAGATGCTTTTTGCTAACATCTAACGTTAGTCAGATTTTACATATTCATGTGCACATTATAATTATAGTGCGGTGTGTACTGTACCCTTTAAATGCCCTTTACAGAGCCACTTGACATTCAGTTTGATGAGGACACGTTGTCCAACAAAGCACTAGTGTCACTGGAGCTCACAGCTTATATAAATGTAGTTAATCAACAACAAATGTTTCTGTTTCTTTTAGTTTACCGATGATAAAGATGCACCAAAGACACCCATTTACACCCAATAAATAAAGACATGTGTTCAAATGTATTTCAGGAATCCCACTTTTCATGTCAATATGCTTCTTCAGTTCACTCATAACAACTATTTCTGGGACCACTAGAGACCTTGCACATGAACATTTAATATCAACTTTCAGTAGTGCAACAATTGAGCCACAAATTACAACACTGACCTTACACGGTCTAAACATCCATTTTGAGATGATTTGTCTAAGGCTGTGTTCCACTACCATAGAGGACATATAGTACTCAAGGAGAAGCAGTTAGGGCACATTGTAAGATGATTGTGTTTGCAGTTACATGTCTACATAAATAATGTCATTAATAGATGCTCCATGCTAGCTCACTCAACTACATAGAAACTGAACATTTACATAGCATTTATTTTGTCATGTTTACTTACTAAATTAAAATTAATAACAGATTAAACACAACGCTTAATGCTGAAAGGCAGCTATCCCGAATGATATATTTTTTTTTCTACAGCAACAACGTGTTTAAGGATCAGAGTAAAGAGTCCTGTCTGACTCACAGGCAGGCTCTTATGCTGGTCTAACCAATGATGTAAAGGCATAATGCTATGTGTTGTACCAGATAATACAGGGTAATCATATACCTTTTTTATAAACAGAAACAATTATGAATTCATTGTTATAAAAAACATTTTGTAATTGTGTGTGAAACCTAATGTACTGTCCATAGGATCGGTCATTATGTGAATTCACTCCATTGTTCTGCTGGCTGTCTTACAATAATCTGCACATACTGCCATGGAGGCATGTGGCACAGTGGATAGTGCGTTGGTTCAAACCCCACTGCAGTCAGCATGTCGTTGTGTCCCTGGGCAAGACACTTCACCCGAAATTGCTCCTGTGGGGATTGTCCACAGTATTGAGTATGTAAGTCGCTTTGGATAAAAGCGTCTAACAAGTGACATGTCATGTAATGTAACACAGCAAGTTGGAAATACTGTACCAAGGACAAAAACTATACTCAAGACTCAATCAAATACACAGTATAAAGTCAAAAGTAAGTGTTGACAAAAACAGCTATCCTGCCAAATCTTTCACAGAAGGGAGAGTTACAGTCTGTACATGATCATTGTCTATACAAAACAGCACAACATGGTCACAAAATGCAAAAAGAGTACATTACAATTCCCATTTAGCTGATAACGTTAATATATTTTAGGTCCAACCTTTCCAAAGTAATGAAGTTTGACGCTATGAGACCACTGTTTTTTAAGTTTGAAGCAGGTTTTTAAAACATTGAGACAGCTTTGTAGCACCTTACCTCATCTGAGACTTCCACCAGCCAAGATCTACCAGCAGAGCATATGGATCCTTCTTTTAAACATGTTCATGTACAGATCCACCTTTTGTCTGTTCAAATCCACATCCAAACACAAATCCAGCTGGATCCAAAAGGCTGAGCCCAGCATAGCTCTCCGATGTCCTAACTCCTTCTTCAGATGGCCCTCTATCATCCTACAGCCCTTTGTCTGTCTCTGCCATGTAGGACTGCTGTGTGTTCAGCCAGCGCTGATCCCAGTGTCTGACTTGTTTGTCTAAATGACCACTAGACTTCCTTCAATTCTTTCCCAACTTAGTTTTCCTGCCTGTGTTGGTTGGTTTCCCTGGACTGAGCTAAATATAGAGACCACACAAGGTAAAGTGGAAAAGACCAGAGCAGGAAATGTATCACAATATGCCTGTGCGCACGTTCGTGTTTGTGTCTTCCTGTTTTAAATCCACCAACATTAATGATAACTCTGTAAGGTAAAAGTCCAGGGAACTAATGTATGTGGGGGTTACTTGCCCAAGTTTAGGTGATAACATGTATTTGTTCTGTAGTTACTTCACAACATGTATGGTGGAGTGTGTGTGTGCACCTATGTGTGTGTGTGCATGTGTGCTACATTGTTGCCCTGTGTTTGTGTGAGAGGGTCAACCCATCCCATATTCCCCTCTAATGACGTTGTACACATTGTTTTGTCTCTCTGGGCTTCTAAAAATGTCTGCCTAAACAAAAACACTGACTGCACATCCTGCCGCCTGGCTGGACAAAAATAATTGAACTCCAACTTTTATTGTCTCTCACACATTTTCAACAAGGGACTGAATAACAGCTACTGTGGGGAGGGGTAACTGGAATTTAGCGTAATTAATTTGGGCAATGTGTATGTCACTGAACCCAACATTATTACATATTTAATGGAAATGCCTGGCTGCAAATGGTGAAATAATAACGTTTCACACTATCTCACAAATACATTTCCCTGACTGGTGTGGTGAAGATCTTTGAAAAGTTATGCTGACCTGCTAACTATAACGCTGCTCATTTGAATATGTATATTTCTACAAAAAAGTATATGAAGAGGTGTACACAGTATGTAAGGTCATATGATTATAAATGTGTGAAGTTATCCCTCTGTTTTGTTCGACCCATGATGAAATATGAACTGTATGAGCCATTGCTTTGTTATCAGCTTTAATCTAACTTTCTATTACTGTTTAGATTTGTTTCTTTTCTTTTTATTTGTTTAATCATTTTTCAACAATTGTTTCTTTGTTGTGATTTGCCTGTACTGGATGTTGAAATATGAGTTTATATTCTGAACAAATTGCATCTGTTCAATGAAATAATCTGATCAATAAAAAGTATTAAAACAATAAAAAATACCAATTTCAACATCCCGATCCCAATCTCAATGTTTAGGTTCCCTTGTGTTGCGTCTACACTCTCAAGACCACACAGTTAATGTACAGTGAGGGTTATTATCCACCCTAGTCATGATGATGTTGTTTACTTATCTGATTCTGATGTGAGAAAATGTAATTATCCTGCAGAACATGCCGTCTTAGTATGAGGCTTCAGCAGTTGTTACCTAAGCTGAGGACTTTTGCAGTGCACTCAGTTTACGGTAGGGACCGCAGTGTTCTTGATGATATCTTTAGCTCAGGATGGTTACCCTTCAAAACAAAATGTTTGCCACAAGGTGGTCTCTCAATCAAAACAATAAAACAAGACTAAGTGACGTAGAGAAGTAGTTTGGGATCATAGGAGATGTTTTTACCTCGTTCATTATTCAGGAGGTTATTACCTGGAGTCCTGTTTCCTGATTACGAGGACTCCTGTTCTAATATTGCATTCTAGACACTTTTGGATCTTAGCGCTAACTATCTATACGATACGTTGCAAAATATACTTTATTGTCCCTGTAAGGAAATTTGTTCTGGTCTCTGCAGCTCCAAAAAAGTTAGAAAATCGACTTGTACGGTCCCTGGAACTGCCTAGATGGCATCACTAACTTCCTCAGCCCTCTCCTCTACTCATTTAATTTCAAACCTTTATTTATCCAGGTGTATCCCATTGAGATCATTGATCTCTTTTTCAAGGGAGACCTGCTCAAGTAGGTTCCACATGAAACATAAAAAACATAAACAGAACAACAAAAGGACATCATACAGCATCATTACAGGGATTACAATTTACATAACTATCCACATGAACAGGTACCAACAGCTTCCGATTCAGTAGCATCCAACCAAGCTTTAAAAACATTTAGTGGCACCAGATTGCTCAGTTTCCATTTCAATTGCAGACTATTCCAGGACAGTGGAGCTGCGCATCTAAATGCTATCTTCCCTAAGACAGTCCTAGCAGTTGGCACATTTAATAAAACCACAGCATGCGATCTCAGGCAGTAGCCACTTACAATTCGCCGTGAGATCAGGGAGCAGATGTAGGATGGAAGTTTCCCTAACATGGCTTTATATATAAAAATGTACCAGTGACTGAGCCTCCGTACAGTTAGTGAAGGCAAACCAGCCCTTGCATACAGGGTACAGTGATGGGTTAATGCTTTACAGTTTGTCACAAATCTCAGTGCACTGTGATACGCAGCATCTAACTTGACCAGGCAATTGGCAGGTGCATTCATATAAATCAGATCACCATAGTCCAGCACAGGTCAAAAGGTCACAGTGACTAGCCTTTTCCTGGCCTCAAGCGAGAAACAGGACTTGTTCCTGTAGAAGAAACCTAGCCTAACCCTCAGCTTTTTAAGCAGGTTATTGACATGAAGTTTAAAAGTGAGACAATCATCAAGCCAGATACCAAGGTATTTGTAACAGGCAACCACTTCAAGTTTTATTCCTTGCGTAGTTAAAATATCTAAAACAGGCTCTGGTGTCTTTTTGGCTTTTGAAAAAAGCATTACCTTGGTTTTATCAACATTTAAAAGAAGCTTTAGTTCAGAGAGCTGAGTCTGAATAATGTTAAAAACAGCTTGCAATTCAACAACAGCCTCCTTAATGGAGGGACCTGCACAGTACATCACGGTATCGTCCGCATAAAAATGTAAAGTAGCTTCATCCACATTTTCACCTAAACTGTTGATATATATGGAGAATAAAAGTGGACCTAAAACAGAACCTTGAGGAACACCATTAGCAATGTTTAACCACTCAGAAGACAGCCCATCAAAGTGAACACATTGGGACCTTTCAGAGAGGTAGTTCACAAACCACCCCACTGCATGGCTGGATATGCCAATACTGAGTAGCCTCTGCTTTAAGATGCGATGATCGACGGTATCAAACGCTTTGGAAAGGTCAATAAATAGAGCTGCACAACTCTGCTTATTATCTAAAATACTCGCCATATCATTCACCACTTTCATTGTGATGGTGCTATGTTGCTTTCTGAAGCCTGACAGGATGTCATTTGTACATAAAAACTCCTTTACCTGTTCACTCACTAGGCGTTCGAGCATCTTCGCAAGAACTGACATTTTAGAGATAGGTCTATAATTATTTAATAAGGTGGCCTCCCCTCCTTTTAGCAAAGGCAAGACATAAGCTGACTTCCATACTTTTGGAATTGTATTTGTGCTGAGGGAGAGGTTAAAAAGAGAAGTGAGAGGTGGAGCAATAAAATCTGCAGCTATCTTTAAAAAGAAAGGTTCTACGTTGTCCGGGCCAGCCGGTTTCTTAGGATCTAACTTGGTTAAGGCTTCACGAACAACATCAATAGTAAAAGGAGTAAAACTGTTAACAGGCCCAGCAGAATCACGATATGGGCCATTTTCCCAGACCAGCACACAGTATCCGCGATGTTCCTGGGGCAAAAATCCTCCTCAGCACAGCAGCAAAGGACAGGCGAAAGCAGCAGCGTGGAAGCCTCCGGTCTCTCCGTGGTATCCCCGGGGTTAAAGGTCTCCTCAGCAAAGCAGCACACGACACCGCAGCACACGACAGGTGGGAGCAGGCCTACGCAACAGCAAAACCAGGACAGGTGGAAAGCAGGCCTCCGCAACAGCAGAACCAGGACAGGTGGAAAGCAGGCCCCAGCCGTGGTAAATCCTCCTCCGCACAGCAGCACACGCCCGGTGGAAGCAGGCTCCAGCCCGAAGCGTGGAGCCACTCCGTCTCTCCGCGACGTCTCCGAGGTAAAATCCTCCTCAGCACAGCTGTACTCTACAGGTGGGAGCAGGCCTCCGCAGATCGCAGACACCAGACAGGTGGAAAGCAGGCAGCAGCAGTTGTGTGTGAACTCCCTGTTCACAAACAACTGCGTGGCCACACACAGCTCCAACACCATCGTGAAGATGGCTGACGACACGACCGTCATCGGCCAGATCACCGACGGCGACGAGACGGCGTACAGAGAGGTTGAAAACCTGACATCTTGGTGCCAGGATAACAACCTCCATCTCAACGTTAGCAAAACCAAGGAGCTGATTGTGGACTACAGGAAGCAGCAGAGAGAGGGACACGCCCCCATCGCCATCAATGACTACGGTGGAGAGAGTCAGCAGCTTCAGGTTCCTCTGTGTCCACATCACTGAGGACCTGACATGGACTCTTCACACAAACACCATCACCAAAAAAGCTCGACAGCAGCTCTTCTTCCTCCGCAGGCTGAGGAGGTTCAAAATGGATTCCAGGATACTCTGCAACTTCTACAGGTGCACCATAGAGAGGATCCTGACCTTCTACAGGTGCACCATAGAGAGGATCCTAACCTTCTACAGATGCACCATAGAGAGCATCCTGACCTTCTACAGGTGCACCATAGAGAGCATCCTGACCTTCTACAGGTGCACCATAGAGAGGATCCTGACCTTCTACAGGTGCACCATAGAGAGCATCCTGACCTTCTACAGGTGCACCATAGAGAGCATCCTGACCTTCTACAGGTGCACCATAGAGAGCATCCTGACCTTCTACAGGTGCACCATAGAGAGGATCCTGACCTTCTACAGGTGCACCATAGAGAGCATCCTGACCTTCTACCTGTGCACCATAGAGAGGATCCTGACCTTCTACACATGCACCATAGAGAGTATCCTGACCTTCTACAGGTGCACCATAGAGAGCATCCTGACCTTCTACAGGTGCACCATAGAGAGTATCCTGACCTCCTACAGGTGCACCATAGAGAGTATCCTGACCTTCTACAGGTGCACCATAGAGAGCATCCTGACCTTCTACAGGTGCACCATAGAGAGCATCCTGACCTTCT